TCCCACTTGTTTGCTTGCTCTTATCTGCTTACTTTGAGTGGTCCTGGCTCTCACCTTTGTGTCGCCTTGACATCTCGGGTGCGTAGGAGGTACTGCCTCCATTCCTCTAGTGCAGTCGTGATAGCTAACATCTTCTTGTCGTAAATCTCATAGTTCCATTTGGCGTTATTTGTTATGGACACCCGATTATCCATTATCTTTTTCCTTTCCTTTTCCTTTTCCGGACTCTCACGTGACTCGGCAATCCCCGTGACTCACACTCGACTCATCTAGTTCTCGCGCCTTGTTTACAGTTGTTTGCCTCATCATACCTGGTCGAGTGACGTCATATGGGCTAAAACTGCTGACCGTACGCGCCCATTAGCAACATTTTGATTTTATATTTGATCTATTTTCTGATTTTCGACCTTTTTGCACCGTTTCGTGCGGGGCCTCTGGTTGTCCTTCCCTCTTCCGTTCTCTGGTCTTGCACTCCTGAATTACCAGCTCTCACATTGTGGCATGTTTTCCATGTCTCGGTTACTCTAGTCAGGCAAGCAGAGAAGAAGTGGTTCATGAAGGATTGGTACTACTGTACATCAAATGTTCTGAGATATGCTGTCATGGTAAGTAATGCCCTACACCACCTTTCTGCACGTGGGCGCCATACCGGAGATGGAAGAGAGATAACATACTTCTTCTTCTTCCGGCCTATCTTCATCTGTGCACTCTCAGAGTAGCCACCCCAACCACTAGTGGCCCACTCATTGCACTTGATGTCAAACACGTCCGGCAGCCATCCCTTCTTCTCAGCATCCTTGAATGCAAGCCAAAAACTCTCTTCCATCTCTGGAACTGAGAATGGACACTTCAACGCTGGGACTTCAACAGGTGTATGCCGCAGATTGCGCCGCTGGCTATAAGCAAGACGAGCCATGATTTCCTCTGTAGATGCCACGGAATCAACAACCTCCTTGCCGTCACCGTCATCATCCTCAGTTGCAGGACCATCCTGTGGATCGAGGACCGGACCATCTGCATCTTCATCTTCCTTGTCATCAGTGTCATTGTCTGAGTGGCCCACACCAGTCGCCTCAGCAGCTGCTCTCAAATGCCAGTGTTGGCTGACACCATAATACTGTTGAAGCAATCGAGGATCGACATCCTTGTAGTCGTCATCATACGTTCTGACCTCCACATCTGCAATGAAGTGCATTTGCTTTGGGTATATGAATCTAACTAGTCTTCAATACTGAATGAATGACACACAATGGGTGACTTGTTTGCACCTTCCTTGCTGATTGGGTGATTGTTTCATGTCTCTCGAAAGACATTACAATCATTATCAATCTCTTGTAAGAAGAGACTGTGGATCAGCCAGAGATGGTTGGGGTTTTTATGGTCCAGATGATGAAGCTCCTCAAGGCAGGTGAGGAAGGCTCTCCGAGAACGAGCAAACTGCTTCCCAACATCAACCCAGATGGGCTCAATGCGCTGCTTACTGTTTGAACTGTGCTTATACAATCTCAGAAGTCATGCCAGTAATGCAATATATGAGCATATGATGCACGATCCCCACAGAAATGAACCACGATTGGATTCTCGAGACATGATCATCCACATCGAGACCAGGATATTCTCTCCCCGACAATCACCCCATACTCGCAGGGGAGCACAATATTTCTTGACTGCTTCGAGAAAGCCTTTGAGTACAGTTGAAGGGAGGTTGTCTGTGCTGGCATGCATGCTGACAGCCTACAGCTCTTTGATATAGGCATCTGCATGTATCAATATGAAGAGCTCATATTAGAGATGCCTCTAGAAGGGTAAAGGGCCCCTTGTGGCTGCTCAAGCCCAGCGAAAACATGCAGCATTGCGGATCAAGAAAAATCAAGGATACCACCAAATCAAGCAAGATTTGACCAAAGTTGATAGCACTTGGACTGACAGCGATATTCTTGGTTCCGGAACCCTAATTTAGATTAGGCTGACATAGATATCGCTAGATAGCTCGCGACAGCGCGATAATGCTAAAATGACACTAGCCCGTCCATCTACACACAAACCAAGAAAAACCATGAGATCCCCCTTCTGCCGGCCCGGTCCCCGCCGTCAAACAGTACGCGCCCCGCCGCCAAGTTCTGACTCAGACATACGAGCCCTGCAAAGTGTGTCAACACGAGTTGCAGGATGTAAGAACGGCCACGTACCCTTCTCGCCTCTCCCACGTCGTATGCCCTGCCTACGTACCAAGAGTTCCCAGACCCTCTGCCTTGACAGTGCGTCCCTGAGAGTTTGGTCAGCAAACAGGAGAGGCGAAGCGTATACGAACACTCACTTGTGCCGCGGCAGCACGATCCTTGTCTTCCTACGAGTTCAGAGGTATGTCAGTACAGCCATATCATGCAAAGATCATGCCAACGTACCTGGTCCACGACGTTCTTGCACCACTGCTACATGACAGAGTGGTGAGATCATAAATGTGATGGCAACTAGTATACATACTTCAACAATTGCCTGCGACAGCGTACCGGCAAAATTGAAGAAGTCATCCAAAGTTCGCTTCTGACCAAGGTTCTCCGGCCATGCTACCCAATCGCGACCACATGCCGCACTATATGAAGCAGATCAGTACAGCACAAACAGCAATATTGGGAACTCGTGACATACATTGTTTCAGAGCCTTTTCCAGGAGTCCAATTTCGACGCTGCTTTGCCCTCGCAGGTTCTCTGGCAGCAACGGCTTTCTGAGTACGCCTGAAGTCCGTGTACAGGGGCCCACCGAGCGAAGATGCGGTCCTGACAGCATCCAAAAATGCTGACGAGTTTAATTGTCAAAACTGTACATAGCTTGATTATAGACAACATACCGCGAGAGCACCCGAGAGTTGCCGTCCGGGTCTCGTTAGATGGCGACGTGGCAGTTGGCTGTGAAGGATGGTGTTCGGGTTGCAGCGACACCGCACCTTCTTCGTTCCTGGTGTGCTCAGTAGAACCTACAGCACCCGACGATGCCACCACTGACAATCCAGAGTGGGGAGCACCGGTGTGCTTGGGGCCAGACGGTTTGTTTGACAGAGATGTTGTAGTCGGTGCTCTTGGCGCTGGAAAGGTGTAGTTGACAGGCTTGTCTGGCCGCAGTGACTTGCTAAGGACCACTACTGGTTAACCATACTGAATGCCCTTTGTACAATGGTGACGTACAAGCGTGATGCAGCCTAGAAGGAGGGAGGAAGTCAGGAATGGGCGAAACAAGATGTGCGTGTGAACGCACCTTCTCTTGCCGGGCCTTCCTTGCCGAAGCATCCGCGGTGTCAGAGACTTCAGGGCCTTGAGACGTGGCACCAGCAGAGTCCAGTGTCGCGCAAATGGCCTCGGGCGCATGCCCGACTGTAGTATCAGGGTGGGGGAGAGCAGATGAGGGAACTTCCCCATCCGGCATAAGAGGAGGCTTTGCGTTCCCACTGTTGAAGGTTTCGGGGACGTCGGCCATACAAATATCTGTATCAGGCAATGGCGAGTGCTCGGACTCAACATCAGCTACCTTAGGCTGTGCATGGTTCAGACCTCAATCGTAGCATCAACGAGGGGACATACAGATAGGGGATTATAGTATAGGTCCTCGATATCATTGCGATGGGGAGGACTGGCTTGTTTCGCAGGAGCACCTGTCGGCGACGTTAGCCATGTTGGAGAGGGGGATGAAGGGGTGCTCGGTGGAAAGGATGCAGCCACATTGCTCGATGGGCGAGCTGCCGGCGAGGAAGCACGGGAGGGAGAGGGCGACGGTATGGCAGATGATGGCAGGAGATTGCTTGTAGAGGCAACATTGGCTGGATCCTCTCACGCTTTGATCTCAGTCCGGCGGTGTTTCGCACCTAACAATTGTGAGTATCGATGACGGCGAGGGACCGTCCCGACTTTGCACGCACGCCTGGTTCCATCTTCGTCAATGTCTTCCACCTTGAAATGGTAGACTGTTTCACCCGCCAACAAGCGTGCTGCGCACGCCTGTCCAACACAAGCCCTATGTCTCGTTGCAGCATTGCCAGTGGCCTTGTAGAACCTGTCAAACTTATAAGAAGTGAAGTAAAAGAACTTCCAGCCCGAGGAACAATAAGCGAAGACTACATTGTGCGCCCGACCGCGCATCTCGAAGTCGAACAGTACTTCAGGCATAGCCTTAAATCCTTCGGGCGTGTCAGGCCACAGGCCTGCCGATATATACCATTCTGCCTGCCTCTCCCACCAGGAATTCACATCACTCAGTTCAAAACCGTCGATAGGTTGTGCATTGAGTTTGACAAGGCAGCCAAAGCTGACATTCTCACCGGCATTCATCCGGGCGGCACCGTGTTTGCTCGGTTGCGATGGTTGGGATGGGTCGACAGCGTCACCCTTTTTCCGACTCCTCGATGCTCCAGGCTTGTCAAAGTACACCTCTAACCAGAAGAGCTTTCGTAGGGAGGGCTTGGAAGGATGAGAACGGTCGCGGCGCGGGGATTATGTAAGGTGGTGGATTCCGCCAATCCGCCAGTCCGCCACCAATGGCGAGCGTCCTGTCTTCAGACAGAGGCTGTCTGAAGACAGCCCCGTGTCCATCTGAAGACAGCGCCGTGTTCGTCTTCAGACAACGTCGGCTGTCTTCAGACAGCCAGCTTTGTCTGAAGACAAACACGGCGCTGTCTTCAGACAACTAGCTTTGTCTGAAGACAAACACGGCACTGTCTTCAGACAACTAGCTTTGTCTGAAGACAGTTGGCTTTGTCTGAAGATAACCTGAACTGTCTTCAGACAAAGCCAACCGTCTGAAGACAACGAGTGCCATGCGGCGCGTTCACGCTCGGCAAAAGCACCTATGTGTCATCCATCACCTAGC